GAAGTAACCAATCCACTTAGTGGAAAAGCTGGAACACATAAACTTGGATGTATGTATATGACCATCAAAAGCTTACCATTGAAATATTTGTCAACATTGGATCAGTGTTATTTGGTGGCACTTTACAACACAGCTGACGCAAAACACTATGGACTTGAAAGCATAGTACTATTTATTGTGGATTACCTGAAGGATTTGGAGGTTAATGGTATTGATGTTGTCACACCTATTTATAATGGGAATCTTCCAGTAGGACTTGCACAAGTGGTTGGTGATAATTTAGGAGTACATAGCCTCCTGGGATTTTCAGAATCTTTTTCAGCAAATTATGCATGCAGACTGTGTAAAGCAGACAAACCATTGAGAAAAATACAGAGTGTTGCTAATGCAGATCTACAAAGAAATAAACAGAACTATGAAGAGGATTTGCAATTGAACAATCTTGCTGCAACTGGGATAAAGAGAGCATGCTCTCTTAATGAGCTTCAAGCATTTCATGTGACTAACAATTTCTCTCCAGATGTTATGCACGACCTTTTGGAAGGGGTTTGTGCATGGGAAATAAAATTAGTCATAAGAGAGTTGATAGCATCAAGTGAACTTACGTTACAACAGGTTAATGACAGGATTACAAGTTACGACTATGGCTTTGTAGATGCTCCCAATAAGCCATCATGCATAACAGAGAATGACTTGAGAAATCCTTTTGGAGCATCAGGACAAAATGCATCACAAATGTGGTGTCTTGCAAGGCATTTTTGTTTGATCTTTGGGGACCTTGTTGAGGAGGATAATCCATTTTGGGAGGTATATATCCTTTTGCTTGAGTGTATGGATTTTATTTTCTCACAAGGGATTACAAATGAGGATACATACTTTCTTAAGCGTTTGATTGAAGATCATCATGAGCTGTATCGTAATGTGTTTGATGAACACCTGCGTCCTAAACACCACCACATGATCCATTATCCAGAGGCATGCCGCAAGTTGGGACCTCTTCGCCAATATTGGACAATTAGGTTTGAAGCGAAGCATAACTTCTTTAAGCGCATATCACATCGTCCTTGTTTTCACGAAGTGACGGCAGTGAGGAAAATCGTAATGTAAAGTGAATGCAATTTTGTCTTCGTAACTTCAAGAACATACAAAAATCACTAGCTTTCAAACATCAGATTCAATTGTGTCACCGATTTCTGACCACTGCAAGTCTGTGTAATGACAGATGTGAAGTAGGCCCTGGAACATCAGTTCTGCTCTCATCTCTTGAAGACTCTGAAGATATTGCGCAATCATTAGGTGGCTACCCTGTTTATGATGATGTTTTCATTGCCAAGTGGGCAAAGGAGTATGGTACTATCTACAGGCCAGGTATGATGGTGACGATTGGAAAAACGGAAGAATTGGAATCTACCTTTGGCAAGATCATATATGTGCTCCTGATTGACAATGATCCTTCAAATGTACAGCTAGTTGTTCACCAATGGTGTACTGAGTATTTCTCAAGACATTTGCATGCATATGCAGTGACACCAAGTGACCCAAAGGAACTCAAGGCGTATGGCATAGATGATCTACTTGATTTTGTGCCTCTTCATGCAACCAAGGCTTACCTAAATGACCAGATGTGGTACATCAGCCCTAGATCCAAGGTTGCTTGAGCCCTGAGGTACAGTAATCATTCTCATTGTGTCACACATTTCCCTGCCAATATATCAATAGGCTATTAAATGTGACCCTGGTAGCAGGATTTCTCAAACTTGTTTATTTCCTCCTGCTCCTTTCTTTGAAATTTTGTCCCGCAAGTGTGTCATAAAATCTTACAAAATTGCTGCTTATGTAATTTACATACAGTGAAATTCTTACAAAAGATATCGGTGCTGAAACTACTCATCATCATGGAAAGCACTTGATTTCTAGGGAAAATTTATGTCATGATTAGCAAAGCAATAATGGATTGTTAACGATGGTAGATTAGTACATAAATGACGCCCGGCCTCAAACATTTCTTTATCTACAGACATTGATTATTTATGGTATTGATCAACAAGAAAAATTACCTCTGGTACACAAAGAAACTCTTGCCAAATTGAATGAATTTTTGTTGTTTTTTGTCCAGGTAGACATGTGGGGTATCTTTGTACCCTGAATAGAAACTGACATCCAAAGATTTTGAGATCACTTATCAAGTGTAATAGGCGAGGAATATTAATTTGTATTGGTATTATTTGTTGAAAGAGTACTGCCTTACATTTTGTTTTACAGCATGTAATTAACATTTCATAAGTACCATTATTTTATAATTGATCTCTCTCACAGGAAGAAATGGTTGATGTTCCTGAAGTACGTGTGCAAGCAGGAGGCCAAGAAGGATGCCCATTTCCTTTACCAGCCAAAAGAAAGAAAAATGCGGTAAATATTCATTGTCAGGATACATGTAGCTAAGTTTGTTTTACACAGTCATTTACACATGCACTGGGTGATTATTTTTGATTTTTTTTAGATATCTTAACAGATATTTTAAATTACCATTTTTAAAGGGTGTATTTAATGTGCTACTAGGTTAGGGGATAACTAAAATAGGATGTTCATCATGCACCAAATTCTGCCATGATTCTCCCTCTCTCTTTAATGCCTCCGCCCACAGACTGTACATGGTCGTTTTCTAGTTGTCCATCCATCTGTTTATCGTTCGATCCCGTTTTTTTTTTCTTTCTTTTTCTTTTTTCATTTATTCCCCCGCCAAACAAAGTTTGAAGGGGGAATATAGAAATGAGCATGTATTTGGTTAGTTGATGGGCCCATGACTGAGAATAACAGCAGTTGGCTATTATCAAGGGTCATGAGCCCATGCAATCTTTTGTTCAAGAAAAATTTGAGGTACAGTGTTTCAATTTCAGACATGTCCTATGCATGCAGGACTGATGATGTTTGATTAGATTTTGGGGGTACAAATTTAGATCACAGAGATGATATCATGAAAATAGCTTATTTTTGTGATAACGAAAGGGAAAGGGAGTGGTTATGACATAGGTTATTTGCATGAAATTTGCTAATTCTTGCAATTAATGAAGAACAGTATATAACATATTATTTCCAAACTTTGCTCATGTGTACACGCAAGTGGGAGGGATAATGATATGATCAGATTTTTGGGGTGAATGGGGTCATAGATCATAGTTAATTGAATGCTTGAAAAATGTTTTCTTAATTTAACAAGAATTCATTGAATATATCAGTTCACTCAAACTTGGTTTGCATATAATGACGGTGACTTATCTGATCCGATGTTGGGGTCACAAAATTAAAGCTCATTGCTGCTCATTTTCACAAACAGATTAACAAGTTCTTACTCTTGGTTTATGCATGCATATGAGAGTGACAATCTGATTAAAAGTATAAAACTTATATTTACATGTAAGCCTTTAGAAGTTGACTGTGTGATCTGATTCAGATCAGACATATATGCATTTTTTTCTGAATATGTTTATTACTGCATGATGCATTCCTCACATTTATTAATCATATGAATTATTCTGTTTCAGGATGAGTTGGTGATGCAAGACACAGTACACAATGTATCTAAGAAAGGAAAACATCACATGGTAAGTGTACTAAAGTTGATGTTTCAGTTGATAATAACGCATTACTAAATGAAACCTGTAATTCATATGGACTCCAGCAGCGATGGATTTTTCCAAAGAAGTAAGCCTGTAGTACCACACATTTCTTTAAAATGTTGGCGAACAAGAATAGAAAAGATGCCACTTTTGTACAAGCTGCAGACAGATAAGCCTGCATTACAAAAGATCAAACCTATGTACGTTGCATCAGAATCATTAAGATAATGATAGTAAATTTTGTTTGCTGTCATTTTGTTTGGGCGATGTAGGCCAGATATTAGGCCTTTACAGTATGAAACACCTTAAATTTGCTCAAGGAAATTTTAGAATTTATCATTTGATTAAAATTTTAGGTCACATTTTAATTACAGGTAATTTTGGACTGATATAGTGTTCTTTTGTGTTCTATTATTTGTTTTGTTGAAACCACATTTGCAGAATGTGATTGAGATGCTTGAAGAGTCAGATGGTCACGAAATAGTCCAAGCCCTAAGGCGAAGAGATGGCTGCACGGCCAAGACGAGGTGCAAAATGGTCAGGATTCTTGTATCAGGAATGATCAAACTTCATGGATCAAGGTGAGGTACTTATTTCTGCTTGTCTGCCCTTATCTGTTCTCACATTGATCTACAGAATCATTTGACAGATCCAATTCAAACACATATTGTCCAATGTTTCTGTTTAGGAGTAACCATGATTTTAATATGTTTCAGAAATTTACATGATTAAGTGAATATTTATAATTAAGGGTGAATTGCTTTTGACTCTGCAATATGACATTTTCATTATTGAACAGAATTTTCATTTGATAGGCCTATGACAGGAATATGATTATTTTGAGATTTAATGTCGGGTCTCTCTGTGGTTTTTCAGGCCCCCAACTGAGATCAAGACCGGCTTGGCGAAGGCAATAGTGGAAACATTCCCATTTCTGCGTGATTCTGAGGGAGAAGGCTACGTAAGTTTTTTTTTCCTCCACTTTCCTTTGTAAGGTAATTCACCATAGGTGGTTACTTTTTCCATGAAAAAGTGTCAGGTCCATTATGATAACAGCAGTGCATATCTTGACAACTGTTCAATGAAATTCTTATAAATTTTATATGTCAATTTCAAGGAATTTCATTAGAGGATGTTGAGATGTGCACTACTATTAGTGTAAGTTAATCTGCACTTTTTCCGGAATTGCCCATGAAAATCGAGTAGGAATTATTTGTAAAATTTGGTAATATTTATGAATCCTGCAACTTTTAAAGTGTATTTTTCCCTTTTTTTAATGGGCAAATCACTTGACTCAATATTCATTCTTAAGATTTATTTGTTTGCTTTATGATTGAAGGAAGCTTTCTTCACAAAGAGTATTGGAAGGCATACCGCTACCGGGTACATCGAAGAGCGTCTACACTCTAAATTACAGGGATTTAAAATTTAAATCTTAAGCCGGATTTGAATGAAATTAAATCCATAAAGATTGATTTTTAATCTTAAAAGATTGCTAAACTGGTTCTTAATCCGAGTTTCAAATATATTTTTTTCAATCCCAAAAGATTAAAAAAAGTTCCGAAAATTAACGGCAAATTGACCAATCCTGGCGATAAGATTTTGTCACATGACATGTGACATCATGCGAGCGGGAATACTTTTCGATCTGCGATCTGAGCTACCGTCGACGTTTGAAAATGGCTGACATGCTAAAGGCGTTTTTAGAGGAAACGCTAGGCCCAAAGGCAGGGGAGACAGAGCGAATATTAGAGGGTAAGTACATTTTGTATTATCTAGGCTATCTGTATTGGAATAACTAATTTTATGACAGCAGAACGAGTGTTTTCACAAGTAGGGAACAGTCCCGGAACGGTCTCTAACTTTTAGTTTTACTACACGTACGTAACTAACGCCTGCGATCGCGACGTGTCGTGATCAAGCTAGCTAGTAGTAGCTGTACGATGGTGCCAGTCCCGATGTCTGCAACCTTAAAATTTGACTTGAAAAAGAGCAAAAAATAGGTTTGCATTCATGTAATCATTACTCTCATGCTAACCCTGATATTCTAAAGAGTGAGCATTCCAAAATCTTATGAAAATTTGAGCAAGAACATTTTAACATTTTTAATTTTAACAAGAAAAGACGCCCGTGTCATTCTAAAATTGCAAGCCCGTTCCGAGACAAGCCACAAGGCCAGGGCGCTGCGCAGTCATCATGGGCACTCCTACTGAGTACCAAGAACTAGTCCTACCATCATACTACATTCATACATGTACGCCTTGCTTAGACAGGCGTAGTTAGAGTCCAGCCCCAGGGTGAGGTGGGTTGAACTAAGGCCAGGGATAAAGCATGATGGTTGTCCCTAGCTAGATCTAGACCTATGGCTATGTCTTGAGCAAGAAAATTTTTTGTTTTCCTGTAATTATTACTTTCATGTTATTCCTTAATTCTAATGAATAATCATGCTAAAATCTCATGAAAATTGGAGCAAGAACACTGAGTTAGAATTGTCATTTTAACAAGAATTAAAAGAGGGCCATGACCTGTGTTGTTTTAACATTATTCATTGTAGAGATTAGTGCCCATGTCTGCGAATTCGCATAACTGCACAATTCAAATAGATCTAGACCTAGACCTCTAGGTCTAGAACAATTAAAACACGCAACGCCAACGGATATCAATTTTTAGTCTATCTACAAAGTTTATTTGATGCAAAAACAACGCAAAAATATTGAGAAAAGTCCTGATATCATTTGAGCAGTTTAATTTGCAAGCCCCGAACTGCATGTAAAATGATATTTATTGCATGTTTTGTTGTAGACTATCTAGATCTAGATAGGTCTAGGTCTTATGTTAGACTCTCTAGATCTAACGCAGGTACGCATCTTCGCAGACATGGGCGCTATGCATTAATGGGCATTCCTGCCAAACATTCCTGTAATGATTATGGATTATCAAATATTGAAGGAGTTACGGAGAGTTACGCACTCTTCGCCGCGACTCGTGTCATAAATTTTGTAATATTTCAGTAGATCTTCTGGACCTAGTCCTACTCTTAGATTCTAGTCTGGAGTGCCCGTGATTCGACTAAAAATTATAATTTCACACACTAGAACACTAAATTATAAATAAACACACAGGAATCAAAACATCGCTCACACACAAAGTCACTGACCACATCCAAATTCAGTATTTAAACTCCCAAAATATATTTAAAAAGCTGATTTTCATTATCAAAATTGCGATTTCGGCTCAATATTTTCAAAGGTCTTAAAAATGGGGTCACTTAAAACCAGCTATAATTTTTTTGTTTGTTGCAAGTCACGAAGGTGATGGTATGGCTGGAAAAAAACACCAAACGAACACCCGAGACTCTCCGAATGCGATCATTTTCCTAATCAAAGCATTGCTGTAGTTATAAACACACATGTTTAATAATATATTGTATGCACAGGGAAAATTAATTATTTCCTTCTGAGAAAAATGGAAATTTATGGAATATTTAGTACACAAAATGAGAGCTGCTCGCATGTGACGTCACAGAGTTGCCAGTTTGCGTTTGATCGATTGCAACTTTTAAAAATCATAATTTTTTTTTATCCTTCATCGATTTCTTGTCAAACCTTCACTGATCTATTTCTCTCATTTTTCTGCTTTTGTTAAAACCAACTTGATATCAGGGTCGACTTCCCCTTTAAAAGAGTTATCACAGAATTCTTTAAAATTTTGAAAATAAATCTATATTTTCAATATATTTTTGTTTCAGAGAACTTTGGCAACACTTCCCAAAGGAGACACACATTCTGTCATAATTGCTTCACTTTGATAGTCCCGTCCCAGTTGTGATACGGATCAGATTCTGGACCCAAAAATACGCATTTGGTGTTTTAGAATTACATTGCATTTCAGTATTCAGGAAATGTGATGTTTGAATTAGATCATGGAATTGTTATGCTTGAAATGTGGAAGACTTATTCATGCTGATACAGTGAGAGAGTATGCTCGTCATTTACGTATGTCCCATGCAGTCTTTGGGAATGGAGAGACACTTGTTTGTGGTCAAAATGGTTGTATGCGAACATTCACCCTCATGAACTCACTGTTACGTCACATACGTCGACACCATGCCCGCATGCCAGTTGCACATAATGACCCTTTACATGGTGACTTTGCTCATGAAGAGGATGATGATGAAGGAGAGGATGACCAAGCAAACTATGATGAGGATGTAGAAGATGCTGAGCACGTTTATGAACCGGAAGATTTCAATCTAGGTTCATTGAAGAAGCTGGCTATGAATTTGGTCATAAAATTAAGGTCTTCAACATCAACCACATACTCTACCATTCAAAGTGTCATCACTTGTACGAAAAACATGTTTCAAGAAACACTTTCATCTCTACGGCAAAGAATGATAACTGTAATGCAGCATCATGGAATTGACACCAACTCACCTGATGTACAGGAGCTTAATCTTCAATTTCAAGAGCTTGAAAATCCTTATACGGGTATTGAAACACCAGGTCAGCAGATGAAATACATAATTGAAAACTTAATGTTGGTTCCTCCAGTTGAGCGGGCATTGGGAACAAGAATTGATCACAAGTTGGACAGAAAAACTGGCCAAACAAACCAAGTAGTTGTCACAGAGACATTCCAGTACCTACCTATGCTAGAAGTTCTCAAACTTGTACTGAAACCAGATGTAAGAGCCCTCATTGACTCAGAAATTAGATCACCAGAAGGCATCTTACGGGGATATATGGATGGCACACAATATCATCAGCATGAAGTGTTGCATAATCACCCACATGCTCTTAGAATTGTACTCTACTATGACGATGTGGAAGTCGTTAACCCTCTTGGGAGCAAAAAGGGCCTCCACAAATTGGGCCTGTTTTATTACAGCATTCAAAATTTCCCACCATGTTACAATTCCACTATGAACAGTATATTTCTTCTAGCAGTATGTTACAGCTCAGACGTGAAGAAATATGGCTCAATGCTATTTTGCGACCATTTCTTGATGAAATGAAAAGACTTGAAAGTGAAATCGGCGTAGAGATCCTCATTAATGATAACATGATAGAGGTTCATGGTACGTTGGTCTCATTTGTCGGAGACTCACTTGCAGCACATGATATTTTGGGTTTTCTAAGCCCATCAGCAAGAAAGCTGTGCAGGTTGTGCAAAGCGACTCGAGAAGAAGCCCAAACTAAGTTTTCAGAAGAGGACTTTCAACTGCGTGAAATGGATGAACATGATGAAATAGCTCAGCTTGCTGCCAACAGGGGACGTGGTGATTCAGATAGTGGCATAAGAAATGAATGCCCATTGAATAGGTTGAGGTCTTTCCACTGTGTGAATAATTTTAACTTTGATGTTATGCATGACCTACTTGAGGGAGTGTGTCAGTATGAGATTAAACTCATACTTAACCAACTTCTCTTTGTTGATCACTTCTTAACATTGACTGCACTTAATCAGCGCTTATCATCTTTTCATTATGCTTTCAACGATAAGAAAAACAAGCCAACTTGCCTTTCAATGGAACGAATAAGGAATGCACAAGACCACAAAATGGGTGAAAAGGCATCCCAAATGTGGTGTCTAACAAGGATGTTGCCTCTGCTGATTGGGGATCTTATTCCTCAGGACAACATGCACTATGAACTACTACTGTTGCTGTTACAGTGCTTGGATATAATTTATTCACCAGTAGTTTCTATACCTCAGACTGTAATACTGAAATACCTGATTTGCGATCATCATAGTCATTTCAAGCTCGTTTTTCCTGAAAGCCGAATGATAAACAAGCACCATCATATGGTGCACTACCCGATGTGCATGAGAATGTGTGGACCACTAGTACTTTCACAATGTCTACGGTTTGAAATTAAGCACAATTTCGGCAAGAGATTGGCAGCAATTAATTGTAATTTCAAAAACATTTGCAAAAGCATCGCTGCCAAGCACCAGGTGATTCAATGTGCTGTTTGGATGGGAAAAGGTCTAAGAGAAGATTTGGAAGGCATTAGTGGAAGTGTTGTTACAGTTTCATCATTGGAAGGAAGTCAGTGTATCATTGAAAGCCTTCACCTTCATGAGGACACTGAAATATTTTCAGCCAGTAAAGTTACAGTGTATGGAATTGAGTACATTCCTAACCTCTACTTGGCAACAGCCATTGATGATGATGAACCACAGTTTAGTCGAATAGTGGTTATTTTGGTCCCAGGGACAACAGCAGGAGACATCAAATTTGTTGTAAGAAAGTGTTGGAATAGAGGGTTTTTCCGCCATTTCCATGCCTTCTGTGTCCAAAAAATGGAGATGTTTGAGTACAGTTTGGTGACGCTTGATGACCTTATTGACCATGTGCCTTTGACTGCATTATCATCCTACGAGAACAACAGTTCAAGAGTGTACCTGTGCCCTCGACATAGTCTAATACAACATAGGTACATATAAATTCAATAATGTGATTATACATGTATGCTCCTGCCCCCTTAATGAACTGGCCTATTTTGAGTTTTGTATTAATATAACTTGGGGGGGGGGGGGCGGGGGCCTCGCAAACCAAAGTTAGCATGCACACGAGAATTTGCACAAAGAGAATTTTAGACCTCATCTATGAAAAAATGTTCAAATTATATGCAACAAAAAAATGATAATAGTAATCAAGCTTTTTCAGGGAATTTTTTAAAAAAGGCTTTTGGACATTTTCAAGTTGTTCATGTCTATAAATTTCTTACATGTACATGTATAGTTCATCATCTGGATCAATTTTCAGTTTGAATAAATTATAAATCAAGAGGGAGACCTGACTGACTTACAACCAAAGTTTACATGTATATCTCACTTAATTAGCTTTTTCTTTCGTACACAAAATATCCAAAAGAAATTTATATTTTTGTTCGGGTTGGTCTTTGGTCATGAACGATCACATGCATAATTGCATGTACCTCTATCAAATGATGTCTGATTTTAAAAATGTAGTGTCCAAAGAAAGTAAAAACTTGAAAGAAAAGGGTGAAATTGCACTGCTGAAAACGTGGAGGATTACTCATCAAAATTTGCCTTTTGCCCCCCCCCCCCTCCCCTGCACATTTTTGGTTAATACATGTACATAATATATATACATTGTACATGTACAGTATTTCCTAAATTTCACTTGTGCATCTCTCCTTTTTCCCCGTATAGAGAATGATGTTGACCTAGAGGTTCTACGCACAATGTCAGAGGGGGATCTTGAGAAACTCGGAATATCGTTTGGGTTGAGACGAAAATTGACTCTGGCAATTAGAAAGTCACAAAAACAACTGGAGAGTACCACTGATGAAGTCGTTATACATGTAAGTATTTTCTTTTGTAGTCCGATTATGTATTTTGAATAAATGTATGTCAAAATATGAAATGTTATAAATGAAGAATGTGTTATTTTTTTGTAAAGATGGATGATTTAGATTAGTTTCAGTTGCCTTTAATGCTGTCATGTATTGATGTCAAGCGCGGTTGTGCAAAGGTTGAGCTATAGAAGATGGTTACATTTTGATTGTCTTTATTGCATTATACTACATGTAGGTGTAAAAAAAAAAACAATTTGACACTTATGATCTCTAATAACTCAAAAGTGAACTGTTTATCAAGCTCAAATTTTGACACTATAAACTTGGAAGGATGATAATTTTTTTCAATTACATGTACATTTCATGAAATTACTTTTGCTACCCAATGTTAATAATTCATGGCTCTTGGTTTAAAGAGATGATCTGGAATTTCACCTGCAATACACAATGGTGTTGTTGTGTTCTGAATTGATTACTTATACAAACATTTTTTTTGGATTTTTTTTTGTCTTGGTTTTTCAACAAGTGAAAAACTCATTAAATATTCCAACATCATTTTATCAAGTTTTATTTGAAGGAATGTCATGAATGAATGTCAATCCAGAGTAACTTTTTTTTTTTTGTGATTAATTTGTATTTGTATTTTTTTTACATTTTTTATTTTGTCACTTTTACCCATGGGATGTTCCAGCAAGTTCTGATAGCCCAGTTCCCAAGAAATTGAAAAGTGTGATGGTAAGCTGTATTCCCTAATGCTATTTACAAGATATGTCTTCAAATTTGAAATAAAACCATGAAAAAATTAACTCTGTATGATGGTGAAAATGTCCTTGTTTAAATTTATTGGTACCCATTCCAGGTCAGTCATCCAAATTTGAAAACATTCATTTGTTTGGTATAAAAGAAAAATCGAAAAAGTTTTCAAGTGAATTAAAGTTTTTGGCATTTTAACATAAATAGAATGGAACTAAAACTGCTTGGGCTAAATGTACTTTAATATTAGCAAATAAGAACATATTTTGATTCCTAAATGTAATGAAATAAGTTTATGTTTCTTTTTTGGCCATGAATAATGCCACTTGAAAAAATACAATGGAATGCTTACATGGTGTTTTAAATTTGTACAGTATCTTTAATATGATAAAATCACACTTTTAGTTCAGATAATAATTGTCAATATATCATCAATGAATTAACACCCGGTGTTACTTTTACAGAATCTCAAAGAAGCAATGAATAATTCATCTGAAGGACGAGAGCTAGTGAAGCATCTTGATGGTGGTTCTACATTGTCTACCAAGCAAAGGAAGGCACTAGTGAAGATGGCTGTTGGACATCTTGTGGACCTACATGGCTTGTAAGTAGTGAACACTCGATGTAAATTACACATAAACTGCCCATGAAAACTACATTGAATGAATGTCCTTACTGTTGTTCATACTTTGTACATGCAGCTTTATATACGACCTCAAAGGTAAAAAGGCTAGGCTATTTTGGTGAACTATCAGTGGGGGGGGGGGAGGGGGAATCTTTGCCTTGGATTGACCAAAACTGGTCATGTAGAAAAAACATCCAATAATGAATAAGCCTGTTAAAGTTTATACCTTTATCTCAAATGATTTTTGAACTTCAAATTATAGGCTCATTTTGGCCACGCATAGCATGGTACCTGATGGTCAAGACTTCCTAAATTTGTATAAAAATATGTGTATTACTCTAGGCGCTAAAGTCATGAAAATGAGATAGAGATGTTTGGAAAAGTTTGTTTTGCAAATTTTCGAAATTCCAGACCATAAGACTGTCCATGTCAAACTCATCTTACTACCATATGTCAGTAAACAGTCAATGGCTGCTTGTATAATTTTTTTTTCTTTTTTCTTTCAAACATTCATGAAGGTGGCCACCATCTAAACAGAAGACCTTGTTGGCTAAAGAGATAGTTAGTACATGGCCTTCAACCAAAGATACCACACCTGGAATGGAAGGGCATGTAAGTAAACATTAAATGTTACATATAGAAAAATTTGAAATGGTGACATACATGTTCATGTGCATGTTTGTACTTAGTTAATATAGTCTCATAAAATATGTATTAAGAGAACAATGTGCCAAATATTTTTTGTTCTATAGATGATTTTATATTGTAAAAATTAAAACAAAAAAACACAAACTATGAATTTTAGGCTTCATGGGAGGATTTCTTAAAAGAATTTTTAGTGTAACTCTCAGTGTGTTAGATCGAATGCACTATCTGCATATGAATGAAAAACAAGTCAGAGATAATCTTGGAACCAGGACGGATTCGAACCTGCAACATCTGCTATCCGGGCAGCAACTATACCACCAGGCCATCTCTGGTCCATGGAATAGACACGATGAATTAGAATCAAATATCCCGAGTCTCTTAATTCTGATTTATTAATATCCATGGTCCCCAGTAGGACAATATGAATCCTACTAACATTCATAGCCTATTGTCCTACTGGAGACCCTGAATATTAATAAGTCAAAATTAAGAGACTCAGAGATATTTGATTCTAATTCATTGTGTTTATTCCACAGACCAGAGATGGCCTGGTGGTATAGTCGCTGTCCAGATAACAGTAGATGGTGCAGGTTCAAATCCCTCCTGGTTCTTCTTAAAAAACCACAAAATGTGTAATTGAATCTCTAAACATTCAAACCCATCCTTTGAGTTAAAAATACCAGGATTTCTGTATGTGATGTTCTTATCTGGTGAACACTCGGTAATATGCCCTATGTACAGTAACCAGCATTGGATGCTCTTGTGACAATCCATTATAGAAACCTCACATTAAAAAAAAAAAAAAAAAAATCAAAAATAATGATAAAAGAGTGGTGAATTTAAGACAAGACTAATTTTGCAATACAACGCACATACACCGTAATGTGCTTTCACTTGTAAAGACCCTAGGCTTATTTCTCCCATGTAGGTGTGACCTTCTTTTAGTGATTTTTTAATCTAAAATGCTATGAGTCAGACAGAACACATGAGCAGAATAAGCAAAATTCACTTACAAATTTGAATTTATTACTGTTGTTCATGAATGATGTCTGTTTGGCTAACTATACAGGTATTTATTCTCGAACAAAGAAACAAAAAAATGTATTTTTAAAAATTAATTTTGGTGTGTTGCTATTACATCCTAATACTGGAAGTTCTTTTTTTATGCCTCCGCCCACCGAAGGTGGTGCCGGAGGCATTATGTTTTCGGGTTGTCCGTCCGTACGTCCGTCCCGCTTGCTCGTTAACGCGATATCTCAAGAACTAATTGAGATATCAACTTCAAACTTAATAATAGTATGTACCACCATAGGAAGACGAACTGATTAGATTTTGGAGTAATTTGGTCAAAGGTCAAAGGTCACAGGGATCAACTTATGAAATTCCTGGCATGGACTTTGTTATTGCAATATCTCAAGAACCACTGAAGATATGAGGCTCAAAATATTATGTATGACCGTGGGAAGATGATCTGACCAGATTTGGGTGAAATATGTCAAAGGTCAAATGTCACTGAGGTCAATTTCTGAAATTACAGATTTTAGCCTTGTTATCAAGATACCTCAAGAACCACAAGAGATATGAAGATCAAACTTGATGATAATATGTATCCCATCATGGGAAGACAGTCTGATTAGACTTTTATTAGGTAGGTCAGTGGTCAAAGGTCATAGATGTCAATTTTTGAAATTACAGGTTTTATCCCTGTAATTCCATCCATCTGCACTGCATTTAAGGCGGAGGCATATAGGAGACGCAGTCGCATTTGTCTTGTTTTTTTCTTCTTCTTCAATGAAGGAACATTTCTTCTCACATGATGGGTCTGGATTCATCCAGTACAGACTAAAAAATGTAAGAACATCTCAAAATGAAAGAATGAAGACACCAAAAAAGAAGCCTGAGAGAGAAATGAATGAAGCCTCAGCAGATGAAGCTCCTCCTCATTGTTTTTCGCTTTTGCATGTGCTTACTGCCATGTTTTCATTCTGTTCATCATCTCCTTATAGAGCACTTTACAAGTTATAAGTAACTGACCAAAAACCTTGCCGTGTATTACCCTGGTCATTGGATTCAATCTCAATTCTGCAGTAACAGTTCAGGGTTCAGTTTGTCTGCCATTCTCCCTTTGTATGTGTCTGTGTGCATTGTAGGCGAGTGTGTCAGTTGAAATGTGGACAATTTGTGGTTGAGGCTGTCATTTTTCAAAGAGGGTCCCAAATATGGGGATAAACCTGGACAATAATTTCATGATCTGAGGATATGCACATTTCCTGACCATCTTACAGATTACTGACGTTGATTTAGGAATTACATGCACTTTATGAGGAAATAGCATTTTATGGTTTCTTTTCATTATTTTATAACCCTGCTAGGAGCATGTCACATTTTCACTTGCAGTATCTTATTCTTGTTTCAGATTGATTGGATAAAGTTTTCACCACCTCATCGTGGATATATGTCTACGCACACAGAGTATTTCCAGGACACGCACAAGTACAGACGGCACATCATTATGGATAGTGGTAATCCTATCACTATTACAGAAGTGTTGACTTTGTTTCCTAGATATCAAGATATTCCCCAGTTGGTAAGTTATTTGTGTTATGAAATTATCATGTCAGTACTCCCACATCATTGATACTTTTGAATTTCTTTTACTTTCTAGAGGTGGTCAGGAAAGAAATTTGGGCTTAATTGTATCCCCCGAACAGAGTTTTTGGTGTGGGTGGGGTCATCGTTGCCATGGTAACAAATTTATTTGTGGAAATATTCTACAACCTTTAACTTCTGCTGTTTTTGCCCAACTGTCATGAAATTTGGCAAACAGGACCGATATAACATGGAGTTGTTAAAAATGGAATTTTCAGAAGTGCCACGCCAAAGCGTTGCCATGGCAACCACATTTTCTTGTGAGCGCTCTGCATGAAGGTGCGTTATGATAAAGGGAAGACACCTATCAATTTTGGTGTGGTGGTGGGACGGTTTCGGGGGATACATGTGCTCGGACCGGTACCCCGAGTGCTCTAGTTAATTTGCAAATTTAGAACCAAAATATTATTACCCAAATCATCGGGAGCATTAGAAATATAATTGTGATGACTACCGCGCCTTATCATTTGAAAGTGTCTGCACTTTTTGGGCAATAATGCTTTCATTACATCTTGTTTAATATACATTTATGTGTATAGATTAAATCTGTGGGTGATGAAGTGATAATAAAATACTGGCTTGTGTTACTCTTAAGGGATATGGAATATATTGCCCTTGATATGATATTGTACTTGCCTTCTCTTGATTGTAGCTCTGTCAAAAATGTCTGATATCCCCCTAAAGTCCATCCAATATTATATAAGTATTTTAATTGTTTTTGATAACATTATTTTGTTATCCATTTCCATTGTTTCCCCAGATTGGAATTGATTTCTCAATGATGCACAAAGCTGAATCGGAAAAGTTCATTACCCAATGGTCAACCTTGAGAGAGAAAATCATACTCCTGGGCCAGGAGGAATATCATAGCGTCAAGCAAGTGATAGAGCGTTACCAAGATACGGACAGTAGGTTCATGATTTTACTTCATTTCTTGAATCTGAATCAACTCATGGTTTTAAGACATCATACATCGTTGAACTTATCATAGGTCCCTGGAAGTTCTTGGAAATATTTTCAAAAATCACAATGTATTCAAAAAGAAATAGTAATTCATGCACAGTAATGTTGTATTTTTCACCGAATTTATCCTTCGTAATTTTATTGAAAGTCATGAAAAATTTACTGGATTTTATGTTCTTTGGTAGACCTTTAATGTTTGGTTACTTCTGGGTCTGGAATGTCCTCGAGTTTTAAGCTGCTCCAATTATATAAACCCTATCTAATGGCATTTCAGTCACTTCCGGCATCTGTATTTACTTTTAGCATCAAATTTTGTCATGGAAATTTTTTTTTTTTTTTTTTTGGGGGGGGGGGGGGGGGGCTGCCCGCCCCCCCCAAGCTCCCCCACCTGTACGCCAGTGGCAGCATGGATTTTGTTTTCTATGCAAAGGGTGACATGTGATCCACAGATCACCTTGTTAAATTCTCCTAAGGTATAAAGGTCTTAAAAATATTCTACTTTATTCATTTTCATTTATTCATGTTTCAGGAGATCTTTGTGCACTTCTGGTGACAAAATCGAAGGTCAACTGTAGCAGGTCTGCTGCAGTGCAGTACCTGATACAGCATGTGCCAGTGAGTAATTGTTAGTTTCCTTTCGATTCTGAAAATTTTGCACTACTACATTATTAGACATGGTTCTAGGATATATGATCTGGGGTACTTTAAAACTACATGTAGATGATTCTGTCATACATATGTTAGCCTCTCTCATAGTAATAGCCACATTGAGGTCAAGAGTCATTTGTGAGTTGTGATAAGGTAAATTTACCTTTTTATGGGTCTTGGTAACTGTCCCTTTGCGCTATACATGTAACTATACAATCATTGTTATTGTGGACAGAAATGCCACCCACACTAAAATACACCCACCCTGAAAAAAAAAATCCTCTTTAAAAATGCTGATGTCTTTGAATTTAGCAGGATGCAGGATAATGTTGTCATTCACTTCTACATATATATATGTTTTCAAATTCTAATTACAGGCAGGAACAAACATCGAGGAAGCTATAAACCAGATCAAGAAGGAATACAGGCAGCCCCTCATAGTGGCCCTCGGAAAGGAGACGGGAGACGGGAGACAGAAGCAGTACTTCTTGTGCCTTGACAGCATTCCTGTGAGCGCCGGTTCAACAGTAGTAGAAGCATTTGACAAGTTATTCAAATGTTTCTTTATCTTTGGTGTTAATTATCCCGACATCCTCTCCCATTTCTATGATTATTTTGCCTCATTTGTCTATGAAATTTGGCCAACCCATAAGGTGAAGCCTATGGTACGTTCATTTGCATGTGCCGTAAAATCCTCTTAGTTTACTTTTATCTATAGATCTTATGGTCAAGATAGACTTTACCATCATTTATTTAGAATAGCTACCAGAACATACTAAAAGTTTAAGAAATTTAAAGCAGTAAAATTTAGAATTAGCATCTTCCGTATGAGAAAATTCTTTTCCCTATAGATTTCCATGAAAGTGCCACAATAAAACGATGATAATGATTATATTCATGTTTCCATCGACCACATTTTTAGCTTTATAACATGAAAATTATTTGCCCAATATTCAAATTAACATCAGCGAACAAAGGATATTCATATTTTTCATATATTTGCATATGGGTACCATATTAAAATAATTCAAGTGTAAAAAAAATATGCGAATAAACATGATGGGAACATTTTTAAATATTCAAATAAGATTCCTTTGTTGAAATTATTATTTTCTCTGTAAAATTGCATTTATTTTTTTATTAGAACAAATAATTTGTCCGATCTGTTTTGAAGTTCAGCAAACACGACAAAACACGACAAACACATTTTGAAAATAATTCATTTTTTTGTTGAATATGCAAATAGGCTTCCAACAATAGAAATGAACAAATTCATATTTTCATCATAATTTTGATTTTCATCTTTAATTTGGATCTCAGTTGCCTATTAAATGTGTTAAAGCCAGTGTGTTCAATGTCTGTGAAAATGATAGACATATTTTCGAACCAATAGTGTGATCATTATTTGCATATTATGCAAATTTTACTACTTTCCACTTCTTCAAGTTTCCTAAACTTTTAGAGTACGTTGTTCTGGTAGCTATTTTAAGTAAATGGTGGTAAAATCGTTTCTGTTGCGATTTGTTTTGGGTTATTATCCCCTCGCCGACAAAGTCAGAGGGGATATAGAAACGCTGCTGTCCGTCCTTCCGTGCGTCTGTGCGTGCGTCCGTGCGTCCGTAACAAATTTGGTTTCCGATCAATAACTTTAGTAATATTTGACGAATTTTAATGAAGTTTGATATGAAGGTACATTGTATCAAAATACAGGCCAAGTTCGATTTCGGAGTATGTAGGTCAAAGGTCAAAGGTCATAGCTCATTAAATATGCGAAAAAATACACATCTGGTTTCCGATCGATAACTTTAGTAATGTTTGACGGATTTTAATGAAATTTGATATGAAGGTACATGGTATCAAAACACAGCCTAAGTTCGATTTCGGAGTATGTAGGTCAAAGGTCATAGCTTATTAAATATGCGAATCTGGTTTCTGATCGATAACTTTAGTAATGTTTGATGAATTTTAATGAAATTTAATATGAAGGTACATGGTATCAAAATACAGCCTAAGTTCGATTTCCGGGTATGTAGGTCAAAGGTAAAAGGTCATAGCTCATTAAATGTGGTTAACTACCTTCCCTAGTAATATAATAGTATAGTCTAATGGAGGTAACTTGTTCTGACGTATATAGGCCATTTGTACCCTGCGAGGGGATGCTACGCTTTGCGTTGACTTGTTTCATATTTTGACTAGACTAATATGAATCGAGGTATATGCAAATAATTTAGTTCTTGTTGAGCCACCGAGGTGGAACGAGACTAAGGGATCCTTGGCGGCGTCCGTCCGTCCGTTATTTGGGGTTCAAAGGTCATGTATGTAGATCAAAGGTCAAATATGGTCTTGAATAACTGCAACCATTTTTTTCCCCTCTCTATTCACACAAATAAGCTATTCTTGGTATTTCACTAATAATCAGAATCAATTTACTAGAATGATTGCGAAACACATTATGGCTATTGCCTTGTTCTATTTCCAAAACCGAAAAAAGAAAACCTAGAATATTGATTTTAAAAGATTGTATTGTGAATAACAGTAGAAAAGGTGTTGTTGGTAACTTGTTAACTATGCTTGAAATTGTCGGGAATACAGGTTGAATACAGGAAATTGGAAAACAAACCATAATTTTGGGTATAATAACTTTTTTCTCAATGTACATTGTTGCAGTCATTGTTATTAAATCTTATGACCACAATTTGAGCATGGTCTTATTTAATTCACCGATCTCAGGCAGGGTAGGTTCAACTGCCTAATTCCCTTTTCTTCCAGTGTACAGTCTGTGCAAAGTGGGTTTTCAACATAGCCTATAGATGTACGTGATGGTCAGTTATAAAAGCCTATACACGTTTGTGATGGTCAGTGATAAAAGCAACCAACAAAAATGTATGTGTGTGCTTAATTTTCTAGTTTGCAGAAGCGTTATACTGTATGTGCATGTTTAATTCTCTATTTTGCAACAACAAAAAAAGAAAGAAGAATATTCCAATATGGGTCACTTTCGACAGAGGTCTAAAGGTCATTGAACTTTCCATGAAAAGCATTGCTGGTTTAACTCATTCAGGACAGGAATTATTTAAGGGCTAAATTGATCAGCTTTTCTTCTTCAAATTGGCAACACTGGTATTTTTCTTTTATTACTATATACTTGAAACAAAAAATCATGTATCTGAAATAAATGTACAAAGATTAATACTATGTTTCACAGTAAAAATATTACCAATTTGCATTGAAAAACACTGATTTTGAACTTTTCAAAACATTGCCAATTCAAGGGTTTTCATGCTTAATTTCCATTTTAAATTCCTGGTGTAAAACACCTTGTGGTAACGCATTAAACACAGATACACTGTGAGCCGAAATTTTTGCTCTTTCTGGTCATGCATCTGATATATTTTTCAGGGCTCTGTATCAAAAGTTATTGAGCCAAACCACAAAATGTGGGTAAAATGCTTTAAAATGTTAAAGTGTTCTGTCTTTTTGCAGTGTTGTATTAGAAATGGTACCTGTTTTGCCTCTGTATACTTATTTGTAATATTTCTGCCAATGTATACTAGTAAATCTAAACATACCTGTATCTGGTTGCTTCTTTAGGTCTCTATTTACCATGATATTTCATGTATATACACTGTACAATTTTTCAAGCCATTCATCTCTTTAAAGCTCAATTCAAGTTTTGGGAAACAGAAAAAAAAATGTTGTATTTTGCTTCCATTTTACAATGATATGGAAGATTTTCTCAATAAACCCCAGTGAACAAAAGGATTTGCCATCAAATATATTCTAAGACCGAATTTGATCAGCAATAGCACTGAGAAATCATTTCGATCTGGGCCAGTGCCTTTTACCACTTGGCGCCGACCACACGCAAAACAAATGAACGAGCTGCATGCCCGCTATTCGCACCGAACCGCAGTGATTTGCCTTGCCCACAGCACTTGCTGAATAGCTTACCAATAGTAACCTTGGTTTCATCAAACCCACCAGATATTTACACTAAATTCGTTGGCAATCATGCATAGACCATAACAATATTTCGCACAGGTATATTTATATATGAATGGAATAATATGAGGACATATATGATAACATTCATTCCCATTTACCTTTCACTACCAGAACTAGAATTGAGCTTTAACCCTTGTCTGACTGGGGGAGGGGGGTCATTTTAAACCCCCTGTACAAAATCCACGACTGCCGTATAACGGTAATGTCTCGCATTTTTTGAGACCACGTTTGCCAAAAAAATGTTAAGCAAATTGTGTATTTTTCATTTTGAAACGTTTTGTTATGTATATATTTGAGATTCAATGATATTAATAAATCAAACTTACCAAACTTTGATTTTGGAGTGTTTAGTATTCAATTTCATTGCTTCAGCATATCTAGAATGGAGATACTATAATTTAAATCCTTATGAGGATTTAAAAAAAAGAAGTCCCAAAAAGTATTGCTTTTAAATCTTTATCAGGGTTAATTTTAATCTAGAAAGATTTATAATATAAATCTTTTGAAGTTATTTTTTAATCCTTTACAGATTAAAACTTTTTAATCCTAGCGAAGATTAATTTTAAATCCACATCGATTGGTCCCTACCTACAGTACATGAAATATTTAAAAATAAATCCTATAGATTTAAATTTAAATCCCTGTAATTTAGAGTGTAGGTGGTTAGAGAGATTTTAACTTTAAAAAAGCCAACACCTGGAAATTCATTCTATGAGTCGACTTCTGTGACCTATGACCCCTGAGCAAGTTACTACAAAATTAAATCGGATTGTATTCCTATGGGTATACACACTATCATCACGTTTGAAGGAAATATATCAAACAGTTCTTGAGGTTTTGCATTAAAAAAGCTATATGTACCTAAAATTTTGTCAGTTGACCTCTGACCTAGACACTTCAAAATTAAATCAGATGATCTTCCTAAGGTGATACACACTATCATATTTTAAAAAAGTTTTTAACCCTTACTTAACTGGGGGGGGGGGGAGGGAGGAGGGAGCCTCGGAGGCCCCCCCCCCCAAACAAATTTTGTTGCGCATGAACCGCCATGTTTTCGGCGATGCTGCTTCATGAGTTTTTTCTTTCAAGTCTTACGGATCTTTTGACACCAAGTTTTTGAAAATCAGACATTCAGCTAGAGAGTTACTTGACCTATTGTGACCTAAGGTCAAGCCGAAAATTGAGAAATTTGTCATTTTGTGTACAAAATGAATGGCAAAGTGAAGTTTCTAGTTTGGTCTATAAATCAGCATAATTTTACTCTTTAGAGTTTAGTTATCATTTATTCAAGCAAAATATTGATACGTAACAACCTCAAGTATCAGAAGTCCTAAAACAATACAATACATAAGATTAAGAATGAATAACAATAGAATACAAAAGAAGTTCATAAAACAATGAAATACATAAGAATTGAAATAGACATGGACAATTTTTTTATGTGATAATGCCCGATAGGCTTTTTAGAAACTTTTTGCCACAAAATCAACTCTGTAAAAGCTTTATTTATGTAATTGTTAATAAAAATCATTATTCATGAATTTGATTTGCATAAATAAATAAATCTAAATGCGGGTGGGACACTATCAATACCTCAAAGGCAGTTATTGGTACGGCTGAGCGTTTCTCATCTGACAGAGAATTGTGGTGACTTGTAAGTATGATATAATTGTAAGAGTAGCAACAATTGTAACAACAAAATTCTTTGGGGGTAGGCGTATTGTAACTTCAAGTCTTTTGGTGTATTTGGAGTAGATAACATAATCATTACAAACCTAAATACTGCACCTTGAAAAATATTGGTATGATGCATGTTACAATATTTTTTCATGCATGTGTGGGTGGGTGTGGGCGTGTGGAGGGTCTAGTGGGTAAAGTTTGATCTTATTCTTTAAAAAACCCAGGAAGAAAATGTGGTTATTTGGGGGGGGAGGGGGGGGGAACAGGTGATCAGCAGGAAGAACAAAAATACACAATTTATGAAGAAGCCCTGGGGGACTACATGAAATTAAGGATTGGAAAGATTTTATTCATTACCTATAATGATTTGTTGAGCTGCATGGTTACACTGCTTATACACTGCACATTCCCTGATATTGTATCTTTATGGGGTTTTTTTTTGCGTGTAATACTTCAGGTATCCAAGAACTGACGAAAAAACTGCACTTGCCAAGGAGATTGTACAAACTTGGCCTGCAACAAAAGATGCAACACCAGGGTTACAGGGCCATGTAAGTACAGAAAATTATATAAAAGATTTTTTAATTCACTTCAAAAAGTTGCAGATCCAATGAGTGCACTGCGTTTTGCGCGTGGTATGGGCTATGCATGGCAGTGAATTATTTTAATAAAGTGAGAACATGGTGAAGAGTCCTGTATCTGCAACTTTTGAAAGTGAATTTTCTAATAAACTAATTTTCATATTTCAATTAAAACATTTATAGACAAAAATAGAGCAATATGACATTTATTTGTGTGCTTTGTGTTCCCTATGTTAAGTGAAAGAGTCCCACAAAAAATACATTCCTACATCATCAAGATTCTTGGAATTCTATTGGTCAATGAACCAGTGTTGAATATTTAACAATAACCTCATCCACCGTCGGCGACGTTAAGGCAAAGGCCATCGTCGATGTGAATTTAAGCGGTCTTTGGTTTGGAAGGATTAAGGATTTTCGCTATTTTGGACATTTGCTATATTCTATACAATAATGATCACTGGATATCATTGATATCAGTGAAAATAATCAAAAAATGCAAAGTAGTCTATGTCTATAAATTTTATGTGACGTTTTCAATGAAAAACAGTGAATATTTTACCAAATATTAAGATTTCTTGGGAAAAACTTGATTTTGGAGTTTGTTTTTCCATGAACCTATTAATGTACGAGGTAACATAACCCCCTGAATCATATCTGACACTTCATATTGCCATTTTTGTGGAAAAAAATGGGATAATTTGGACCTACTCTCATGAAACATGCCATATATTGTTTGGTGGTTATAGAAATAACTTTGTATGTAATTTGCAGGGTTCCCAGCCACTCTGTAAAACAGGGAAAATAAAAAAAAATTCCAGACAAGGTAAACGCATGGAATTTTACTCTGTATATTACCCTTTTCCCAGGAACACTTTTATAGTGAAGGTAATGGGTCAAGTTTTATCCAGTCAAGACTGAAAAACATCAGAAGCTCCCAGAAGGTGAGAAAGCGTGGTCATGATGGTAGCAAGAGACCAAGCCTTCCTGATGATCATGAAGAGCATTTGCAAGATGGGGAGGAAGACGAGCCAGAACTAGATGGTGTAGTAAATCAACAAACACTTGAAAAGGTAAACCATTATATCATGTTTGTATGCCTGAGTTCAAAAAATTTAAACCGCCAACCCCAGGATGGTTTAAATTGATCTTTAAGTATTTAACATTGCCTATGAGAAAGAACAATTTCCTTTTGCAAACTTGTACTTTTTCAGATACAAAGGTCAGAAGTTGGGCATATTTTCAATTTGTTATGTGTAAGTCTATGGGGCTCCTCCGCCTCCGGCTCCCGACCCTGACGTACTTGGAAATTAAGTCATAACTTCATTATTACTCAAATAATATGGGACTTTTTGCATTAGAAAGAGGATGAAATTAAGCTTACAGCAAATGCTAAACTTACACAAAAATGTTTGATTCTTCCTAAAAATATTTTACATGAAACATGAAAAAAAACCTAAAAAGTAACAGCTCCACCATATTTAACAGACCATTATATTAAATGTGACCATTTACAGGTTGAGTGGATGAAGTATACAGCCCCCAGACAGCAAACAAAAGCCCAATTAACAGAAGTCTTTGTGGATACACATAAATACAGACAGGCCCTGATCACTCAACAAGAAATGACCATTACTGATATTGTAAATCAGTTTCCTCGTTATAGAGATATGCCCCAGTTGGTAAGTATTTCTTGTTGTCTTACAATGAGAAAAGTTAAACCATTGTGGCCTTAACATTCTTTTGACAGCATGATTTTTCTTTTTTCTTCTTTCTTTCTTCCCTTTTTCCCCCTCTAGTTTCTTCTGATTTTGCCTCAAAGGCGAAAATATTACAGTGCACTTCATGCAGCACTTAAATTGTTGTACACTGAATTGACATTGACGGGTCTGCTTGTGAGATCAAAATAACACAAGGTTCAGAAGTTCTTGTTTTAAGCAATTTTTACTGTCACAGTTTGCTTTTTTACTAGACTATCAAGTGCTGATAAAGTTAAGTGAAACTGCTCTTGTTATTGTTACACTTATTCCAAGGGTGGATCAAAGATTTTTTAAAAGAGGGGGTGCCAAAATTAAGGACTGATAGAGCTGTAGCACTTGTGGGCACAGTGGGTGTCTGAGGGGGATGTGCCCCCTCAGAATCAGATAAAAATTGTAATTGTATCCCCCGAACAGAGTTGGGAGGATACTATGGATTTGGTCTTGTCCGTCCGCCGCCAGAGAGATTTTCTTGTGAGCGCTCTACCGGCTGCAGTTCTTTTTGGATCATTGTAAAATTTGGCATGAAGGTGCGTTATGATAAAGGGAAAACGCCTATCATTTTTGGTGTCGGTGGAGTCATCCTTACCATGGTGACAACATTTTTGTGTGGAAATATTCTACAACATGTAACTTCTCCTGTTTTTACCCGATTGTCATGAAATTTGGCAAACAGGACCGATATAACATGGGGTTGTTAAAAATGGAATTTTTGGAACTGCCACGCCAAGCATTGCTATGGCAACCACACATTTTCTTGCGCACTCTACTGGCTGCAGTTCTTCTCGGATCATCTTCAAATTTGGCATGAAGGTGCGTTATGATAAAGGAAGACACCTATCATTTTTGGTTTGGGTTGTGGGACGGGTTCGGGAGATACATGTGCTCGGACAGGTACCCTGAGTGCTCTAGTTTCCAAAGTCAATTCGCATGATTTGGTGCATTCTTTTTGCCTGCCCACGAAGTCAGGTGCCCTATCTCTGCAAAAATAGAGGGGGTGCGTGCCGGGTGCCCCCCCTAAATCCGTACCTGTATTCTTCTAACACATGTTCTTCAATTGATCGTGCACATTTCTGCATTTTGGAATTTACCTGGCTATTGACCCCTACAGTGTAGGCTCAGAAAAAGAACTTAATACGTGAGAACTTAATACAATTCACTCTTTGTTTTTCCTTCTTCCCCAGATCGGCATCGAGTTTAGTTTGCTTTATGGTGATGTGTGTGACAACTTTGTAAAGAAGTGGGGAACGTTTTATCGTCCTCGCATCATAGCACTGGCTAAACGAGACTTCCCAACAGTTCAGCAGGTTATTGCAGACTTTAATTGAAGAATCCAATGGAGACAGTAAGTCCTTCCCAAGGAAGTTAAAATGGGAAATCTGTTCCTCCCGTCATTTTGCCGTCACACATGGAGGGGAGTTTCTGTACCTCCGCATTTTTTTTGGTTTCTGGGTTCGGCAATTACAATTTTTTTTCTGCGTGTGTTCCTTTCTTCGCGAGAACTTAAATCACGCATGCGCAAATTTACATCACGCACACATTTATGTTATCGTGCGGAAAATGCACAGCAATGGAAATTTGCGCCAAAACAATGCGGAGGTACAGAAACTCGCCCTCTATGCGGGACCGTCAAAATGGCGACCGCAGCTATATAGCGTTACACAGTGGTCAAAAAGAGACCAGATTTCCCCTTTAAACTTCCTTGGTCCTTCCTTACTTCAAAATACATGGGGTGCATGGGTTTATGTCAACTCATTTATGTATGAGGCTAGCAAGCATGCAAGACAGCAGGCTGTATTGCAACATGATCGTAACCATATCAGACAGAAGTTGATGGAGAAAAAGGCTGGCGTTTTGACCTGAGAGATGCAAGATGCAATCATGTGACATGAATATGGCTAAATTCCTTCTGCAATGTTTGTCCAACAGGTTTTAATTCAAAGGAAGAAATAAAACAAACAAAAAATGAATAAATATAAATTTATCAAATTATCTCCATTTTTTAAAAATTTCTGCAGTGGATGTGTGTGGCCTAACTGCCCTCCTGTTCATGCTTCATCGACCAACGTCTCGAAGGAAGGGTAAAGAGATGGCCTGTTCAAGGCCAGGTGCACTGATGTATCTGATTCAAAATCTGCCGGTAAGTATATTTCACACTGCCTCAAGTTAGCAGTCGGGCCAATAGCTGATTAATGTGCATTGCATTTATCTGCTTATGTTCATGTATAGACAAACCAGAGATTCCAAAACTCATACTGCCTGGTGTTATGGCTGTGTTAGCAATGGAGCTCTAATTGTGGGTTTTAATTCTGGTCTTAATTTTATTTATATTCATAAACTGGAAGATGTGTGCTGCATTATTGATTTAATTCCTAAAATTGGATGAAATTGCAGCCCCTTCCAGTTGTATTTGCCCCTAGGTAAATTTTGAAGCCTCGCATTTACTTTTTAGATGGAAGTTTTGAGGTTTATTCCTCACCATTGCGTGTTAAACACTTTTTCTTTGCAAGGCTGGTTTGATGTGGAGGTATTTTTCGGCATCTACTCAAAAGGGACGCATGCATGCATGGGAACAGTCCTATATTTCGAGGTGTTATTTCTCTGAATGGTTTTTATTCCAAATGTTTTTATTCCGAATATACGTGTCATTTCTCCGAACGGTTTTTATCCCGAAAGGTTGTTTCTGGGTTAGGGTTAGGGTTAGAAAACCATTTGAAATAAAAACTGTTTAGAGAAATGACACGTATATTCAGAATAAAAACTGGTCGGAGAAATGACACGTCGGAATATCGACCTGCACACTCCATGCATTTTGTCAAACTTTGTCATCAAAATTATCTATCCAAGGGGAAAGGAGGGGATAGTATAATTTTTTACATTGAACCTTAAAACTCTGTATTTTGAGCCCATTTTAAGGCAATTTATGCTTCATACATAATTAATTAACACAATTCAGAAGAAAATTTGTGCTGAAGGAAGTGGTAATGTATGGCATATCGCCTTTTCAACTTTATTTTGTGTTATCCTTTTTCAGGTTGGAACTGATGTGGAAGCTGCAGTACAGGGCAAAGAGTCCATATATCGGCAACCGTTTCTGTTAAGCCTGGGGGAAGAGATGAAGCCAAGTCAGTACTTCTTGGTTGTGGACAAAATTCCAATACCAGCAGCAACAACTACAGTGGAAAGTTTTGATATGGTCTTCAAGTCCCACTTTGCTTTTAAAGTAGAGTATGCTTCCCCATTGATGCCGTTTTACACTTTCATGGCTGCATTTGTCTACGCGGTCTTGCCGCCATCCCAGGTGGCAGCTAGTATTAGATCGTTGGCAGCAAACATAAGAAATATGGGAGAGATCTGAAACTAAGCATTATAGACAAGGGTAAACTTTATCCTTGGAATGTACTTGACATGTTAAAATACATTTCAGTGTAGTTGAACCTTAAGATTTAGGCCATGTACCTTCCCGATAAAATACAATACATTTCATTATAATATACCTGTAGATGTAGATACAAGCAGCTAATATGAAAGTGTACTTTATCAGCTTTGTGTGCCTTTTTTATTTTAAAAAATTTGACTTCTTGGACCCTTAGATACTCACATTTTTCTGAGGATATAGATCATTCTTGGACACCATGTGGACATACTTCTGATCTAATCATGAATGCAGGGAAAAACATTTTACAAAACCTATGCATCTCTCATTCTCAAAATTCTGTCAGTATAGTAAGCCAAAATAATGCAAAAACTAGAACACAAAATATTTGACCCATTCTGTAATTTAAATTTGACACTCTGGTTGTGTTGGTGTTTTCCCAATTTTGCTGTGTTAATTGTTTCAACAATGTAAAGTTTACATTGTTCTTGGGACACTTTTTACTTGAACTGTAAGCACATTGTTTTGTGATAATAGATATCTCTGAAATGTGGCAGTTAATTGCATATTGAATTGAAATGGATGCATTGTAAAGTTATTGTGAATGTAAAATGTCCTGTAAAGTGGTGGTATTAGGCTAAAAAAAAATAAAAATACTGTCTCAAAGCTTGTGAGAATTTTTAGATCTGATGCAGAATGCGATTTCTTTTTTTACTCTTCAAATTTCAACTGAGTTCCGCCTCCACACACATCCGTAACCAAAAATGACTGAAAAGCTTCCATGTTCATATTTTTTGGAAACCACATAGCATTCCATAGGTTTTTTGACCTCCCACTGCTTCAATTCGTTCAAAACAGCAAACTTTCTTTTAAAAATGAAAATGAAAAAAATAAACAACTGGAAAAAATAAAAGTCTGACTTTTACAGAATCAAATGTGCACGGTAAAACAAATGCGTGCGGCAGCTTTGAGACATATACATTTTTTTTTAAAGCCTTATAGCATGTATTTTGATATTTAAAGATCCATAATTTTTGGTATCCCTCACAAAACATGTTGTGGATGCTTATGTTATGGTGCAGTTGACCAACTGACTATATCTGCCGGGAACACGAGTAATCCACTCTGCAGGCGAAACACAAATCGCATTCACTTCAAACTTATTGGTATAGTTTGGGAGTACCTAGCTCCCTAGATGACCTCATTATAAATTGGTCAATTTTAGTAAATTGCAAAATGGCAATGAATAAATGGTGTGTAATGTGTTGCAATACATGTGCCACCCGCATTTAGGGAAAAATATTGTAGAATGTTTGTAACTAATGGATTACTAACACTGTATCGATGTTGATTCCAGCGAGAAGTGATTTTTTTTTTAGGTGAAAAATGCCTGATTTGTTTTCCTTTACCCATTGAATGTATAGACAGCTACACCACTGCTTTCAAGAAATAAGGGTTTTTTTCCCCTGAAATAGATAAAAAGTTTCATGTTCTCTACATCATGATTTCACAGGGTGGCGTCTATATGGTGTGAAGCGTCTATCACGACACATAACTGCATCGAGCCAGATGATTAGTGTTTTTCACATAAGCTGGGACATTGCCGTGTATACACTATTCGTTGGAATCAACCATGTATACACCTTAATAAGGTTTCTATTTCTGCATTTGACACTTGCAATTATTATGATATTATTGTTGAATGTCATTTAATGTGTTTGTTATGGAGCTGCAATCAAATAGATTAATGTTTGCCTGAATAAATTGCACATTTTGAGTAGGAATCAACCATACACCTTAATAAGGTTTCTATTTCTACATTTGACACTTGCAATTATTATGATATTATGTTTGAATGTCATTTAATGTGATTGTTATGGAGCTGCAATCAAATAAATTAATGTTTGCCTGAATAAATTGCACATTTTGAGTTGGAATCAACCATACACCTTAATAAGGTTTCTATTTCTGCATTTGACACTTGCAATTATTATGATATTATGTTTGAATGTCATTTAATGTGATTGTTATGGAGCTGCAATCAAATAAATTAATGTTTGCCTGAATAAATTGCACATTTTGAGTCTATGTTATTGTTTTTCTCCAGTCCCACTTCCTCTGAAAATTTTAAATCTCCAAAAGATTTATGTTTAAATAAACCTTGAAAAGATTTAAAGGTAAAACTGAAAATATTTAAATTTTAAATCTAAGAGACTTATATTTTAAGTCTTTTGTGGTTTTAAAATTTTACGTCTTAATAAAGACTTATTTTAAATCCCAAAGGGTTCGTCACTAATATCAGTCTCTGTTAGATTTAAAAGTAAGACTTTAAGATTTAAAAATAAGACTTTCAAATTTAGAGAGTACAGCTGCTTCAGGGATCTTAGCAGTAGATCTTCTCCCTCTAGAACTCGACTGCACTGTCTCTGATTCTACTTCTTTTGGTAGCTCTTTCTGTTGCATTTTCCTGGAAGGTTTTGCCAAGGCCTTGGGCACAGCAAACACACCAGCATTGGAGCTGCTTGTGTCTTCCGCCTCCTGCTCTAAAGATGATATGTGGCTTCCAGGAGCTTTATCTTTACCATCTGGATTAAGAAATCTTGCAGGTATTGTTCTCCTCCTTCCACTCTGCCGTACATTGGTCTCCCCCGTTTCTCTTGCAGACCCTTCTGGGCTTTCGCTTGTCTTCCTTGTCTTCCTGAACTGAAGTTTCCACATGGGTACCTTGTTCCTTATCTCCTGCACGTTGGGTTATTGCTTTGCCTCTTGTACTTGGCTTAACCACCTTAGACTGAATTTCTCCCCTTTTCGTACTTTTATTTCCTATAGGTTCCTCTTCTTGTACGTCTGGTTCTACCCCTTGAGTAGTATCTCTCCTAGTTCTCTTATTACTAACCTCCTCATCATTCTGAGAGTGTATCTTTTCAGTCTTTCCTCTTCTTGTAGATACCTCTCCCTGGCAATCATCCTGTGATGGTGTCTCATCTCCTTTTATAGCTCGTTCACTTCTTTGTGTCCTGCTCCTACTTTGTGTTGATTGCCCATCCACCACGGTCTCAACAGTTTCCATAGAAACTGCTCCTCTTCTTGTCCTACTACCAGCGTCCTTCTCACTACCCTCCCCCCCCCCCCCCGCGATGTCCGTTTGTGCTAAAATTTTGCACACGTATTAGGCAATATGTAAGGAACATCCCTATGGCGTTAGTTTTAGTATGCAATATTAATCTTTTCATAATTTATGCAAATTAGTGCTTATTATGCGTATCATATTTTTGGCTATGATTCACCTTTAAACTACTACATAACCAACATTGGGCACAAAGATTGTTTTGATAACTTGGAACATTTGTGTGACATAAAAAATCAAAAGTTTGCCCTTTTCACTTTTGTTTTTCATTTTATGAATTTCTTATGTATTTCATTGTTTTTTAAGCTTATGTTTTTCTTTGTTTTTATAATTTCAATTTTTGCAGGACTCATTTAGTAGCACAATGGAACATACCAAATGCTTAGAAAAGGAAATAAAGCTATATTTTTGTCTAAATCTGTAGAATAGCATATTTGTACACAAAACGTGAAAATGTCCTATTTTGAACTTGACGCACGAACATAATAGGTTACGTAACAATATGTTTTTTGCAAAATTGGTGTCAAAAGATGCGTGAAACTTGAAAGAAAAAAGTCACTAAGCAGCAAGATGCAATTCGCAGCCGTTGCAAAATAATCGCGAAATTCGTTGAGGGGGGGGGGGGGGCTTTCATGACCCCCCCCCCCCCCCCCAGTCCAATTAGGGTTAAGCAGTGAAAATAACATGTATCAGGGACAAGCAAGTTTGAGATCAATAATTGATAGATTCCTTTATGACGGGACAAAGTGAAATTGGAACCATAGAATTTCCAAGTTAACTTCATGATCTGCATTACTCTTATGAAAGACTGCATTGTTATCCTTTTTGTAAATGAGAAATTGCTGATGGTCTGCGCCTAGAAATGTAGTATTAGGCGCATTGTAAATGTGAGCTATTATTTTTAATTACAAAAGTACTAGATGTTGAAAAAAAAATTTTGCTTCTTTTCATTCCTAATAACTCAAAAAGTCTGACACAGATTTAGCTTAAAATAATTTATGAGGAATAGCGTGAAAGTCATTTTAACTCGCAGTCTTGCTGCCATATTGGCAGTTGCAATGACTTTTTTTATAAATAATTAATCATGCATAATGATTTCAATAGAGGGAATTATATATTGTGTTTATGCACATAGAGACCTGTACACTTAATTTTCACTTCTATTCAGCAGGATCTTTTGGAGCAAAATTTGAAACCCAATTTTAAAAATTGAAGGTGAATTGTGAAAAACTGAGAACAGATTTTGCAACCAAACCAAACCCGCAAAAATTGTACACTACTAGTATTTAGCTGTTTGCTGTGTGAGTTTGAGCTAAATCTGTGTCAAACTGTTTTGATTAATTTAGGAATGAAAAATAGCAAAGAGTTTTTTTTAACACCTAGTACAAGATATAGTGAAATATTTCTTAACTTTCAGTTACTGTGAGTGCTTCTTACATCAATTTGCTAGTTCCAAAATGACCCATGCTAACGGCAACAAAATTATTGAAATTTTGACATGCATATTAATGCCTTACCAGTTCTGGCGTGTCCTTAATGCAGAATTTTTTGTTAAGACTTCTGTTATAGAAGGTGCTCCCTTTCCTATAATGAGCCATCTCCTATACTTGAAAGTACTGGTGAAGTACTCACAAAGACTACCGGTAACTGCATTATTCAACCTCTAAACAGAAATGAGATATGCGTTAAGTGGGCACATTATCTTGTGTTGAACCAATTTAAAACAACAGAGCTATTAGGAGATTTTATATTATTATTTTTTAATACCTTTTGATGTTATACTCTCATAATGCTGAGAATTGACGGATTCCCGCCAAACTTGGGTCATGTATATATTTTGCCAAGCCAATGAACTGATTAGATTTTGGGGTCACGACGTCAAAGGTCACAGGGCTCATTATGTATGCAAAAATAGCTTGTGACCTCATTATCATTAGAACCGATGGACGGATTACCATCAAACTCGGGACATGTATGTATCTTGCTGAGCCAAAGAACTGATTAGATTTTGGGGTCAAAGGTCATGGAGCTCATTATATATGCAAAAATAGCTTGTGATCGCATTATCATTAGAACCGATAGACAGATTACCATCAAACTCAAGACTGTATCTTGAGTTTGATTGAGCTTGAGCTTGAATTGATTAGATTTTTGGGTCAAGAGGTAAAAGATCAAAGGGTCATACATTTAAATGAAAAATAGCTTGTAATCACGATATTTTCTGAGAACCTGTTAAAGGATTACAATCAAACTTGAATTTTTAAATTTGCTTCTGTTTTGGTTTGTAAAATCGCTCTATGGCGGGGGCATCATTTTCGACTGCGCGCAGTCGAAGATCCATGAGATTATATTATTAAAAGGGTCAAATTTTCAGCAAGGAAGCTTGGTAAAATGGCCATTTTACCTCCACTCTTGCTTGATCCATACATCGATCTCTATCTGTATCACACAATATATAGATTTTTTGCTGAATATTGTTCTATGGCATATCTATAATTCTTGTTCAGATGTCAATGAATTTTGTCTGTAAATATTTTGATCTATGTGGTTTGATCCATACATCGATCTCTATCTGTATCACACAATATATAGATTTTTTTTTGCTGAATATTGTTCTATGGCATATCTATAATTCTTGTTCAGATGTCAATGAACTTTGTCTGTAAATATTTTGATCCATGTGGCTTGATCCATACATCGATCTCTATCTGTATCACACAATATATAGATTTTTTTGCTGAATATTGTTCTCTGGCATGTAATTCTTGTTCAGATGTCAATGAACTTTGTCTGTAAATATTTTGCTCACTTGTAACTTGCTCAATTTGGAAGAAATAAAGTGTATATCATACATGCATAAAGTGTACAAACTCGCTGTTCTTTATTTTGAAATGAATCCAAGAATGGTTTATGAGTAAATCTAAAAGACTTGAAATATAAATACAATTGACTTAAACTTTAAATCTTTCAGGGACTTAAAATTTTAAGTCTTAGCTTAGACTTATTTTTTAAATGAATCCAAGAAAGGTTTAAAGTAAATATTAAAAGACTTGAAAAATATATCCAATTGACTATTTTAAACCTTTTCAGGGACTTGAAATTTTAAGTTTTAGCTTAGACTTATTTTAAATCCAAGTCTTTTGTCACTGATTACAGCCGCCCTTGGATTTAAAAAATAATTTTTTTGGACTTAAAAATAAATCCTAA